ATTTCTTGTCTGCTTCGAACGTATTTGACCTTTGTCTTGCTTCTCTAATTCTGCCACCTTCTGAATGACAAAAAACAAAACTCAGATGCTTGAAGAGAATGGGACTCCAGTCCAAAATAAAAGCTCACAACATTTGGTTTCCCTAGTGAATGTTTGTAATATTTCCTGCTAAGAAAGTGTTTATAACACAAATGCTTGTGCATAAAGGTGGCACTGGACTTCAGAGCTCCACCCTGGGCAATATGTTTTCCAAAGTCCTTGGACTGGATCCGAAGGGAACTTTCAGTACCACCTTGAAGCCAACAATGGTACACAAGAGCCAAGAGGGACTTCAGTTTTTCCATTTGAAAGAAACAAACATTTCACTGCTTGCTCTCCCTCAGACAAGCCAGACTTACAAAGTAACTTTCAGAGGAATGTTTTCAAGAATATTCCTTCTGAGGCAATCAAAACCATCAGGACTGACAGATATACACATAAAATCAACAATCAAATGATAATTTGAACTATTAAGAGCAATGAATGAGATACTGGTGTTACATCACCTAGATCCATTAAGTCATCACATCAGTGCAGCAGCTGTCAAAAGGGCAAAGTGAGTGTTAAGAACTATTAAACAGAGAACAGTCAACACTATTACACTGTTCCATAGACTTGTGCACCCACACCTTGAATATCGTGTGCAGTTTTTGTTCTCCCCTGTCTGAAAATGATTTACAGAAGAGCAACAAGGGTAATCAAGATACAGAACCTGTGAAAGGAAAAATCAGGCTGTGGTTCTTCAGACTGGCAAGAGATGACTGTGGGGAATATAAAGGCTTACAAAACAATGAGTCCACAGAAGAGTAGAGATTACAGAGCATCAAGTAAGATAGCCATTGGCAAGTGAAAACAACTACAAAGAAGTTGCAGTTTTTCACACAATACCCAGCTAGGTCACATATCTACTCACAACAGAGAATTGCACAGGCTAGAATCTGCCAAGGATTCCAGAGGAAGTTACCTAGGTTCACAGATAACTATTGACAGTTACCAAATACAGAGAAACACCTGGTTCAGGATGTCCTTGAGTATGAGGACTGGGAGAGTACTCATGTCTCTATCTAGAAGGAAGCATCAGATGCAATTGCTTTGTTTCTATACTCTTCCCCTAGCACCTGCTTTTGACATTACAGAGGTCAAGATACTGATTAAACAGCCTGTTTATTACTTTCTTTAAAGTGCGTAGACCCAGTAGCTCATTCATACAACTTGTTAATACTTTTTCATTTTCACTTATCTTAAAAGAAGTGGTAAAGGAAGTAAGAACTAATTCTTACCTACTACACAACCTTGATGGTGGCAAAGTACAAGTCTATTAAGTCACCACAGTTCTTCAGGGGAAAGGGATTCACTTTAATCCCCATCAAATGAGGTCCTTACTGTGCAGTTTCAATTATGTCTAAATTTATTACCCCAGAAAGAAAATGGCCATGAATCACTGTGCAGGAATGGTGTAATTTAGGCAGCTTGTTCAGCTACTTCAGTACTTTGGTATTTAAGGATTTTTATTATTTTATTTTCTTAAACAAAAAAAAAAAAAAAACAAACTAAAATATTTTTAAGGATTTGTTTCATACTTGTATTGTTCTCTAAAACAGATTAGCAGCAGCAGAAATAATTTAAAGAGCTGATTATGAGGCTACACTTGCAGCAAGCAAACACAGTGGAAGTTACTCCAGTTCAAGTATGATCTTTAGGGAATGTTTCTATTAGTGTTCAGACGTGGCTAGATGGAATATCACCATACATCTAAGAGTGTAAGCAGATTTCTTAGTGCTCAAACTACTTATTTGATGACTCATTAGAGTCACATTTTCTGTTTGTGCAAATAAATCAAAAGCACAATAATGTATCAAAATGAAAAAGCGTAATAATTTATTAATAATGAATCTCTTCATGGAGAAAATTCGCGAGCTCTTGGCACGGAGCCTCTCTCCAACACTTAACCATTAAGAAGTGACCATTTTAACTAACCTACACAACAGTTTCAATGAGCCATTCAAACTACCAAATTACCATTGCTGAACTGAACTGCTTTTCTGTCTACACACTGGGGACTGCACAATTCTGGGGCTTCCCATACAATGACTCTCCAAGTAATATTAGCATATTAATCTACAGACTCTATAGAATAACTACATAAGGCATGTCTGATGCAATTTTACATATTGTAAAATGTTGACAAGCAAAAGTTTTATCAATTGACAAAGACTTCTTCAGGTTTCCACACAGACTTAACTTTGTTTTTAGCATTTAGTCTTTGACTGATTTGGGGCCACATTTAGATGACTTTGGTATCGGTTCAACAGCTGCTGATCAATCCTAAAGATTTCCAAAAGCATACCTGGCACCTCCGGGAGATCTTGGGAAAATTAGAACCTTAAAAACCACCCAAACACAACAAGTAATAAAGGGAAACAAAGTCAAACAATGGAAGCTCCTTGTAATAGATCCACAGCTTCAAGTTTACACGTCTATTTGGAGGCTGAAGAACCTGCCAGTAAAGCAGTTACCAACACACCCCAGCATAAAAACTAGCTCCCACTTCTCATCCAGTACAACACAATATGATGAAGCTGAATGGTGCACGTGCCTGAAAATCTGTCTATTTTTCAAGACATGACAGTCGCCTACTAACACACAGGAACCCTCTTGCCTTCCAAAGTACACTGGTAAGGGGGCATATAATTTGTTGCTGATACTACCCAGCCAGCATGCAAAGCCTAAACGTGGCATTACATTTTATCTTAGGAAGCACAATTTTTTGGCCATCACAGCTTGGCACATGAATTTTACTCAGACAAGATGACAACATTTAAAAAATTAAAAAATCATGTTTGTTTGAATAGAAATATATAGTTTAATCAGCTTTCTGTTGGCTACATTTAGTATTAAATTAACTGGTATTAAACATTTGTACAAAGTATGAAGTAATGATACATAACATTTACATATTCTTTATAATATATGAAAACATTGAAGTCACACAATTCAAGCAAACATTACAAGAAAATTCCAAACATGTACATACCCTCCCAATGCAGAGCAGGTTAAGTCTAACAAGCCATACCAATTCATATGACCAAAGTGAAATGAAATCACTGTTACAGAACAGGATTCGGCTAGTCTGTCAATATTTATAATGCTACAGTCTCTACACAATTATCATAGTATTTCAGATTCTTTCCTGGAAAATTATTCCCATATCCAAGCTACAAGTGACAATACAGTATCACAACACATGACTACAAATTCTTTATTGGCACTGAAATTCCCTAGATCTTTCATGACTGAAAGTATTTGGCAGTTACTCAGTACTTGGATTTTAAAAGCCCTAAAATCTTAAAACTTAAAGGCATTCAAGACAATTTAAAAAGAACATTTAAATGGTAATAATATGGTAATATAAATATGGAACTCTTAAAACCTTTTTCTTTGTTATTAGCCAAAAACTAAACACCGCAAGAGCATGTCTACTAATAAAAGCAGGTTCAACAAATAGAAGTCCATTTCCCAATACAAGTGTGACACCCTTTGCCATTACAAGGACGGGATGTTTACAAAGAAGCCATGTTCAATATCTGCATGCTAAGGTTAAAATCATTTTGACCTCCCTCTGAGGCATAAAAACAGTCCAGGCCTATACCAGCACATTAAAGACAAAGCAAGACGATGCAACACAATTACAGCACCATGAACTTTGGAACATCCAAAATAATTTCAGATGCATCTGATCCTCAGCTTCCAGCACAAAGAGCCAAAATGCACCACTGTGTAACAAGGGCAGAAGACAAACCAAAACAATCAGTAGTCCGAGTGTAAAGAAAGAAACAAACAGATGTAGAACTCTTGGAAGTCAGGCACAACACAATTGTGCTGTCTAACAAACAATTGCAGCTATCGAGCCACTGTTTCAAACTTCTGAGTGAACAGAGAAAGAAATTGTAGCTTTGATGCCCATTTTAAAAAGGCCACATTGTCATTTGACTAGGACTACAACATTCACAGGCTGTTGTCAAAGTCTTTATCTTACTACTTTGCTTTCATATATACACCATAATCTTGTGAGATTACTTCACATATTAATACTAAAGACCAAGTCTTTATCTAGGCATGAAAAAGCCATGAGGTACTTTCTATACTTTCTTAGAGGTTGTCTGAACAGACTTTACAAAACTACTTTCAGTTGAGAGTTTGGCTTCTCTGGGTCAAAGCAAGCTATTGCCACCCATCACTACGGAATAAACACACACAAACCAATAAAGTAGTTCAGCATTGAAAAGCAGTGAATATCTGAAGATAATTGCAACAGTTTGACAGTCTCATCAGAGCTACGGTAAAATCTGTCTTGCCCTAAAATAACTTTAAAACGGACTTTGAACTAGTGTGAAGCTAATAGTCACAACTACAGAAAGTCTTATATTCCCATCTTTATTCCAGATAAGAACTACACACTGATATAGGCTACCTTAACATTGTGAAAGAAAAATGGAAATTCTACATTAACATCAAAGCAAGAATGGCACTGCTATGGCCACAATTCCATCCTGAGCTCGACCAAGCCATCAGAATGAAGTAAGTAACAGAATATCAATTACAACTAGCTAATATCTCAATTTCTCTCACAAGACAAATCAGCTGTTTCTTTTCCAGCTGAAGTTAAAAAGCCATAAAAAGTCAAGAACAATGGAAGAGAAGCTTCTGGATGATGGAACTTAAATAAATCTCTTATGGAGGAAGAAAAACTTACTTGTACATTGACAGCTTCCTCTCCAAAAGAAAAACAATCCTCTTTTGTAAGGAATTCTTATCATCAATTTATATTTGCACTAGAATTTGCCACATTAGCTTAGAACATTTTACAGATATTAACAGACGTTAATATAACTAACCTGATTTGTAATTAACTGTAATTGCAAATAACCAGTAATTAAATTTTTAATTAATTCTCCTTACCATTAGGACAAGAGGGAAATGAGTGCATCCAGAAATTTGCTCCGGTCTTCTGTTTTCAATTCAATTACTAAAACATAAAACATTACAAGATGCAAATAACAAAGATATACCAGATGTCACACTTGAACAGTAATAATAACAAGTATACTTACTTATATTCTTAACCAGCTTTAGAAGGAAAAAGAAACTATTTGCACTAAATGCACATTGCTTATTTTGCTCAGATTGCAGCAAACTCCAGTTTCTAGGTGCTCACTACATGCTATCGCAGCCACTTTTGAAGTTTCTTTGTACAACATGCATTCATAAGTATGTATTGTTAAAAACTGCCTCTTTTGTAAGCACAAAGATAGGCAAATCTCCTTGCATAAGTATCTTATTTTTCAAACAGACAATAAAGTATCTCATAACATCAGTAACGTACTTAGGCTGCTCAATATAAAACCCCTCACAGATAAGCTCATAGATTTTAAACCGAAGTGCACACATGAAAATCATTATTTCATGCAAAAATGTAGATTGCCTCAAAAAGATACCCAAGCCTCTGCTTAGTAGTTTCCACACAAGACAGCACTTAGAAAAAACAGACTGGCAAATAACAGCTTGTGTTTGTACTACACTCAGGAATAGCGTATGGCATACACACCCTTGACGTTTGTCACAGCACGAGGGTATTTCTACAGCTGTGCTTTATGGAGGCTGCATAAACACTGACCCCTAAAGGACTATTTGGTGAATGAAAAGAGATGGGCAGCACTACTCACTCGACATGTCAAAATGGTTGTGTAAAGTCCTAGAATTGGTACTGTCTGCAGCTTTCTCAAATGCTCTTCCAAAAAAACTAGGGGCAAAAAAAATTAAAAACAAACATAAACCAAAAAACCCCACACAACTTAATGAGCATTATAGAAAAAGATATATTTACTAAGGTAGAAGAAAGGAACCTTTTCCTTGCTGAGAGCTGAAAACATCTTCCAGATGTTTTTCATGTGCCATTTATTCAACATGCCCCTCATTTATTCAAGTGCAAAAATCTTAACATTGCAGGCTTTAAGAAATGAAGTCATGGGTCATATTGTGAATTATTTCACTCTTAAGATAAAGAAATGGTTCAGAGGGAGGAGAAAAAAAACCCTAAACAAACACAATGGTGGAACATCTGTATTCTCTCTCAAAGTATCTCATGCATACCATTTAAGAAGGACATAATTCAACTCAACATATTCAGTGTTAAATAGGTATAGGAAAGAGATATTTGCTTCAGAGACAGGAAAAGTCTACAGAGACCTTTAGGAAAAGCTTCTAAACAACATGCTTACTTCTTTTTGTCAGAGCTTTCTGTCTCTGGAGGAATCCCCACCATGATCACAGTTCCCTGTTCAACATCCATTGGTGCAGCCATTATCAGTGGCAGCAATTTACAACGCTTGTTTTTTGTCTGGAAGTCAGAAAGACAAAATTCTTTGTTAGACAAAACTCAGGAAACAATCTAGTTTCAGCTCACTATGTGATCAAAGGACACAGCTATAATGTAGTTCAGCAGAAGGCAGTTTCTTCACACAATCTCTTTTGTCTCCTTTTTTTGTTACAGTAAAAGTCACTTAAGGACTAATAGAAGTTTAGGTTCTTCTCCAATCTTGCATTCCATTTTAACACAGAAACTATACAGACAAGATATGATTTACAGTAAAGAAAAAAAGCTCTTAAAATTGCAGGTATGGGTATCTGAAAACTTGGATTAGGCATTTTTTTTGCAATAATTATTTTACATTGAAATACAACATATAAAACAATGACAAACACAGTGTTCACTAGAAACTATTTTCCTCTGTCATACTGTTTTAATTAAGTTACAGCTTATTGTGATTTTTTTTTTAATCTAAAGCAGTGATTTTAACATTTTTAGATACTTAAATAAATGAACTAAGTTTGCTTAAAGTGTTCTGCCCCTAAGTAAATGTTCTGCAGTGAGTCTTAAAAGTGCTGTCCTGCTTCTAGTGGTAGATCAGTTACTGACCGTGTTTAACATTTAAAATGAGGACACACAGATGCAATCTGGTAAGGATGAACCACAATAATTTCATTTGCAAATTGTAAAGAAGTGCTTACTGTGAAGACAGTTCTTAAACTTAAAACCTCATTTTTATCAGAATTGTATAAATAGAGGCTCAAAAGAAAAATGAAATTTAACTTCAGTTACATTAGTTGTAAAGATCAGAGGATTTTACTTAAACAGACACAGAAATCTTTAGGTCACAATTACCAGTCCTGCAATATTGTTTTTTTTGCATGTCAGGTTAACTGTACATATTTAGTGATAAGCTCCCTCAAAACTTACAAAATTAGGTAAAGATTAGGTGAAGATACATTGTAAGTATCTTGACAATGAAAACTCTTACTAATGCTATGAATTCCCTGAGGCAGATCTCTTTCCTAAAACAGCATTTGCAGCTGAGCTAAAATTATCCAACCATTTAGCAGAAAACATCATTAATACTTTCATGTCATGTTTTTAATAATCAGCTACACATACCCAACAGAACTACAGTAATTACTACACGGACAAGTTAGTCAAAAGCTTTTGATTTACTTACAGAGCAAACAAACGATTTGAGTAAGTATTTACTAAGTAGGCACAGAGACACTGGTTTGGAAAATAGTTTCACATCTGGTGTGCCCTACAAAAAGAAGAAGAACTATTTCAATTACAATACAAGACGATTCCTCCACTTCTTTAAGTATCTACTGACAAGTCTAAAAGTTTTGTATGGCTCAGAGAACACCAGAAAGAATCATTACAATATTAGGAATCTGAGCTCACCCACTTGACTTCAAAATTAAGCCCTCCTCCCTTCGAGAGGACTGATTCTTCTTTTGGGAAGTTCAGAGTAGAAGTCAATATTGATCCATCAGAGTACAGCACATTACAAATAAGTTCTTTCTAATTAAGTCATTAAGTCAAGTGGTTCAGAAAACAGTGTTATTCAAGTATGATTGATATAGCCAAATATGAATCAAATGAGAGCCAAAACTAGAATCCTGACCTCCATGAGAGAGCAATAGAGAAAAGGCCCCTGAGAAATTACAAGGTTGGTGCAAATACAGCTGGCTACAGTCTGTTGAATGGCACATAACTGCTTTTTGGCTAAGTCCAGTCCTTGGTGCAGTTTGTCCAAGTTACCCCTGCAACAGAAAGAATAAAAATAGACACTTTCATATGAAAATAAAGCTTTTCACACAAAAGCAGGTTCTAAAAACTATTAACAGGGGTATTTTGATTTTTCTTCAATGGCTTATGAAGCATCAATGCATCTTTTAGAAACATAACCTACGTTCCCTAAATAAAACTAAAAGAATGAAGAAACACATTTTCAGTACCTGGAGAGACTGTCCAAAGCTTTAATGAAATTAGTTGTTTCAGGCCCCTCTTTTTCTACATTCTCCATGAGAGAAACTGTTGCATAAACTATGTCACTTGCTGAAAACTTGTTCTTAAAGCCAAAGTGAATGCTGAAGGTCTGAACTCTTAAATCTTTCATTCTGCAAAATTAAATAAGCTCAGTAAAGATCAGCATTATCAACATTGACCAGCCATCTCCTCAGTACCTTAATGTTAAGAACACGAAGACAAATCAGACCCTAACATTTACAACAAGCCTAGAAATACTTTGTTAATCTAAACCCCATATTTTTCAAAACAAGATGTTACATACTCTTCATACAAAAATATTTGAACTTAACTGAAAAGCATTTTCAGATAAAGTATTGGTATTTAAAACAATTTACCCAAACTTGTTTGCAGATTCTTCAATCATTTCCCGGAGATTTTCTTTCAAAGACATGTCCATGGAATTAAATTTCTGTTTCACTTGCTTCAAAGGCAAACTAAAAACAGAAGGGAAAAATACATTGATGGGTATGCTAGAATAAAAAAAATATTTTGCCGTCCTTACAGAAGACTTTCTTAATATTAGATAATTTACCAAGTTAAATCTGACAAAACTTGTTTGCATTCTTTTTAATTTAGTCATTGAAAAGCAGATGTGAGAGCATAGGTTACTTACTAGTTTTTACTATTCCATAAAGCCATACAGCTGCATTCCTTGGGCACCAAGACATAAGTTGTGTAACTCCAAGAGACACTGCACTACTCAGAGCCGCACAATCACATTTAAAAACTAATGACTACTCAAAAGATGTATTATAAATATTTTCCCATTATTCATTGAAAAAAAATGATCCTTTAATACTCAGATTTTTATAACTCACCCCATGTCAGCCAAAAACTCCTGGAGCCTCTTCTGCCCTTGTACAGACCAGAGCTTAAGGCTAGCAGAGGTATATGAAGTGTTACAGAGACTTTCATATAGAGACCAGTGCTGATAAAGTGCCAGGCGCAGACTGAACAGGAATTAAGGCAGATAACTATAAACACTTTTATAATTTAAAGTTACAAATAGTAACAAAACTCCATGACTAGTACCTCTTCAGTTGCCCTTACATAATGCAACTCTGTACTACATAAGATACAGTTTGGAGTTGCAGGTGCACTCAACAAAATGAGCAACATGGACTTATAACTAACTCTGACAGGTTAAACTGAACTGAAGCTACGTGAGCTATCAAAAGAGATTCATGTTCAACAAAACAGTCAAATTTCCATTTCTTTTGATTCCATTTGCAGCAGCAGAGAGGGTGCTGGGATTTTTTTTTAAGTTGATAAAAACTCAACTGGGGTTCACCCAATGGGTAGGGCTCATTTTCCCCAGATCTTATGCAAGGATACTCATACTCAAATGCTATTCTCATGCAGTCAATTGACAGAGAGTTTTCTTCATCCTCATTGCGGTGGTTATGGCGAGACACATGGCGCTGTAGAATCCCAATATCAGTCACATACTTCATTCTTAAACAGAAGCAAATTTGACACTTCACATTCTTCCTGTGTATTTTTGTTCTTGATTATCAGAACACAAAAATGCTTCCTAACGTTTACCCACTGGCCAGTCAGCAGCATAAAAACTGTAGATACATCTTTAAAAGAACCCCAATACGTTAAATAATGTTCTTTCAATATTCAGCCAACGTACGAAGGGAATTAAAGCTAAATAAAAATACCCCCAAAACCACAAGCAAAACCCAAACAATATGGAGAGCCAGGTAGATTGACTAATGAAATTATTTACTTATTACAATTATCTCCTTAAAAACATCAGTGTATTTATAACAACAGAACACCAGAATTAAAGTCTACACATGTACTACTAGAATCCTGATGGTATCTAATAGGAAATAAGAAACAAGGAAGAAAAAAAAAAAAAGATAAAATATGAAACTCTTAAACTAAAACTGTAAAAAGAAGCTGGAAGATACAGAATGTTTTTTTCCTTTAATAAAACTGTATCAAGTTCATATTTACATGAACTACTGTTAAACACCATTTCTTCCCAGATCAGAAGTGACTGGTTTACAATTTTGTGAAAAATAAAGTTTAAAAATTCTCAAGAGTAGAAAAGAAAAATATGTATTTTTTTCTGAGATACTTTTTCCACTTTTGGAAGGCATCAGATCACATTCACTCATCAAGATATTTAACAGCACTGTTTATTAACTATCTCCTGTTGTATTAATTCCCACGTTTCCTGATTATTGTTCTAGAAAACCAACCAAACAAACTAAAAGATATATAAACAAATAATAATGAAGATAAATAATAAAAAAATATATCTTTCTTACTGAGTGATTTTATCTTGGACCCATTGATCTGTTAGGCCAACAATAGCCCACCTAAAATTGAAGGGGGGGGAGTGGAAGAGAGGGAGAGAGAGGAAAAAAAAAATTATACCAAAAAATACTCCAGTATATTATGTTATATTTAACCCTCTAAGTATGTACCAGAAGAAGTCAGAAACACTGTTTACCAACCACACATAGAGGTTAACAAAGCTATATACTGTTATTCTCTTTAGCAGACATACACATGTAGTACCATCCTCCTTTTTCCATGCAAAATCTATTTCTTGCTTATAATTAATTTACACAGATGTGCCCCCCAATTCAAGACACAAATTCAATTCCACTCTCAAAATAAACTAGAACCTCATACTGAAATCAAGTAGTTTTGGGAAATCTTGCCTCTCTTTATTATGGGTTTTAACTTCTGACATCTATAAAAAATGATAAAAGAAACATACCACAACATGTCATTCAAGTCTTTAGACATTATCCATGCCAGGTCAAACATCACCATCGCAGACTACATGAAAGAAAAGCAAAAAAGATGGGATAAATAGGCACAAAATCCTCACTTCATTAAAGAAATAGAGCACAGTTAAATTTGCCATGTACTAGCATGTTTCTAAAGGTCTATAAATCACACCCGAGTCAGAGAGACAATGACAGATTGTCAAAGACGCTAAGTAGAAAGGAACATATTTATACAGGCTCTGGAAACCTGCATTAGATATAAAGCAGCACTTAACAAAACATAATCGGACAAGAGGCCAAATGCCTGAAGGAACAATTTCATGCCCTAAGTGTTATGTTTGAAATATCCTGATGCTTTGAAAACTCTGGAAGGAAAACAATCTCCATACATACTAAAGTCCTTTTGTGAGAGTATCTTGTGCATAGATAGATACTTCTCTGAAGGCCTAAAAAGTTTACAATTTTTTTTTTCTTAAATATACCAGCATTAAAGATAGGAAACAATAAAATTAGTTCTGGTTTATCGTTTTCCCCCACTATTAACATTACAGTAGGCACTGTGCCTCAGTTGGCTGGTGTCTGCCAGTCTATTCAGTATTGCTTCTATGGTGTATCTAATTCATCACCAGTAATAACAAGCTGCCAAGTCAAACTACTTGGTTTTTTTTATATATATAAAAAAAATAT